CACAATAAAACAGATAATAGTGCAAGTGAATCAAATCAAATAGAATATAATAGAAATAGTGCAGAATAGTCTATATACAAGTAATTGGAATATTGATATATATATAAGTTGCAAACAGATGAATGTTATGGATGTTCTTTCAAAAGTTCAGCTGTTTAAGTCTTATGGCCGATGTTTCGCCACATAGGCTTTTGTTCCTCATATACAGAGCTGTTTGAGATGTATTCATGATGCTCCATTCAGGTCTAATTCACTTTGTATCTTTTTGCGGCACCTCTCTTTTTCTTTTTTTCTTTGTGGGTCCGGCAGCTGCCAAAGCCCTTCGTCAGACGGAGGAGCAGGTGAAGGCCGAGGCCACAGCAGGACAGCAGGCGCACCCCCACTCCCTCAACTCCCTTCAGCACCTCGGACAGTTTCCTCCTCTCATGCCCAATAACAAGCAGCAGCCGCCGCCGCCACCGCCGCAGCAGCAGCAGCAGCAGCCCCCCCCACCTCCCCCACCGCAGGCTCCCGCAGAGGCCAGCCAAGGGGCTCCAAATTTAAGCAAACCACCCACCATGTCCTACGCCAGCGCCCTCCGCGCTCCACCCAAACCCCGAGCTGTTCGCCCTGAACAGGCCAAAAAGAACAGCGACCCCCTCTCCCTCCTACAAGAGCTGAGTATAGGAAGTTCAAATGGTAGCAATGGGTACTATTCCTACTTTAAATAAGTGTCACCCCTCCCACATTATAAGTAAGTACTGAAATATATAAAACAAAAACAAAAAAGGTAAAACTGTTTCTAAAAACACAAAAAAAAATAGTACAAAGTGCATTTATAAATTGTTTCTATCAGTAGGTTTTTTTCTGCATTTTGTTTCGTTTTAACTTTTTATTTGTAACAGTCCTTTTTTCTCCTGTTTCACATATCTGTGAAGAAAATAAGTATATATAATGAATGCATTACCGGTATATATACATACTCATTATGTATATATGAACATATACTTATATTATCTACACTTGTATATGTACGTAATGCTAAAAAAAGTTATAAAAAAAATAAAATATAAAAAGGTGAGATTCGGTTGACCACTTAGCGACCTCCATATTTTTCCCTATTGAAGTCGGTTTTGTTGGTTACTAGAAAAAGTATGTTGAAGGTTTTATCACTTTGTATTCCTCAGTTTTGAGTGGACGTTGCGTCTTGATTTTCAAACTACTGTAGTTGTGGTAACGGACAAAAGCTAAGTGGTCAACCGACACAGAAACTACATGGAACAGTGTATAGAAGTAGATACATTTTCCTCTAATCTGTAAATACAAAGAAAATAAAAGACTGAATTGTATGCCACAGACATGTCCTTAAATTCCTGTATCATGCTAGCATTTGCATTATGAATTATTTTTGTTTGTTGGCTTCTGATCCTTAATTCTTAGACATCCTGGAAATAGCTAGGAATTATCTTCAGTAATTTAGTAGTAAATGTGATTGTTTTCAAAAAAATGACAATTTCATATTTTACTTTTCACCAATGTCTCATCAGCAACAAAAGATACAGTGTAAACAAGTCCGAAAAACAACAACCTCTCAATTCCTCCTTTGTTTGTGTTAAGGATCAGAGAACTCCAGACACCACTTTCTATGATAGGATTATCCCAAACTGCTTTGCTCGATTCTCAGTCATTTTATTTCTTTAGTTTGTGTCATCAAAAAGCTACACCACGGAAATGCTTTTAATTACTGCTGACGATATGAAATGTGTTTTGTCACTAATTGACGTTGAGCTTCTTTTGAAAAGGTCGCAGTACTCGGAGGGTTTGTGAAAGTGAAGAGTGGTGGGGTCAGAGTGGTGTGTCATGATGGGTAAGTGGAAACTGAGGGTGTGATCAACACTTCCAGTCAGACGCTTTGGAACACGCTAAATGTGAGCTTTTTTGGTTAAATCAGAAGTATATTGAGACTGTAGAGACATAGAAAATACCCCCACATTTAAAAATACACATTAATTATTCACAAATGTGTTTTCTCAGAGCAGTACTGGATCTTTGTCACCATAGCAAACAGCACTCAGATCACTGCTGCTGTAATATGCTCAGTGTAGGTCCCGTAGATGTTTTGTACCAGACAGTTCCCAGTTTCTTGAATCACATTTTAAGATAGATTTCCCTAAGACCAAAGTCTCTATTTTCTTTAAGACAATCTTTAAATCTCTGTCATATAGATAATACACCTGCATCTCATCCATTAGCCAATATGTGCTCCAAGTTCTACCAAAAACATTGATCATTGTCAATAAACATCCTTACCTTATTTGGGGAATTGTAGATCGTTCGATGGAAAACGTTTTCCCATCATCCTTTCCAACAGTCTGCTTGAGATTTAACCAAAAAGGTAACAAAGTAAAAGTCGCTATACTACAAGCGGTTCAAAGACTTGTGCCTGTTTTTAGGACTGCGTGATACGAATGAATCGGTAACGTCTTATTCGTTGTTATTCAGATCGTTACATTATTCACCTTTTCAGTCCCATTGATAAAGTAATATTAGAACAGATTGAATAATCTCATTCACTTCAAAATGAAATGGCTCTGGATATACTTTACATTTGCGACGTTCAAATTACCTTTTTATCTCTCACCAAAAAACATGAACATGACGCATACATTTTTACTCGGCCACACAGCTTGCATGCAAAGGAATCTTACTGCGTTCATAGAGTCCCAAATCTAAAAAGATGTTGCACTATATCTGCCACGGTTTTTCTTTAATAATAAACGCAATGCTGGAAGCAGTCATCTAGTACTCAATTCTGTTATGCATTTCATTTGAATTGTTAAAATACCACTGCCCCATTTGCAAATCGATAAAGTTGTACTAAAAGCGTCCTGCTGTTCGGTGGCTTTCATACGGCAGCGAGTCACTGTTCTGTCTCTTAAAGCGTTCCTCAGTAAGCTACAGTGCCCTACAGCGATTTACATAGATGTGTTTTTAACACTCAGCGGAGAGCTTCATGTTCTTATTCGTACGTTTGAAAGTTTTCACATTGTCATTCAAAGGCTCAGATCTTTTGACTTGGCGGAAAACAACACATACTTGTAAATATGCATTTTGTAGGTATTTACAAACAAACTTTGGGAGCGCCTCAATTTTGTAGAAGCTGTTCAAAGAAGAGGTATGCCCTTTTTAATTATGCAAAACTAAAAAAGAATAATCCTAGGAATAATGAATGACAGTGGATCGTTGCAACATCTTGTAACTTTTTAGATTGTTTTGATAAGATGGTGTCTGGCTGATTTGACAAAGAGGAGAGTTTCTGTTTTCAGACGACTTATTTCACTGTACAATACATATTGGAAAGTATATGTTGCTGGATTTGTCCTGTATTGTTTTCTCACAACAATCAACATGGATTGATTTCTTTTTGTTAATGTGAAGACGGTTTTTTTTTTTTTTTTCATGCATGTTGAGATGACCTGGCTGGTTTTATCCCTGTTTTTATCCGTTTGTATTGATTTGTGAATGAATTAAAAAGTTTAAAAAAAAAAAAAAAAAAAGCTTATGTTCAACCTTCAGAGTCAAATTTTGGTATATTATTTGATGTGTACAATAACTTGTGACATTATCAACAAAACTATTATAATATTTTACTAACATGTCAATCAAATATGTAATGGTCATTTAAGTCCTTTTTTTCTGCAGTTACTTAGCAGGGCTGAAGCTCAGGTTGCTCCCTGCTGTGTCATATTTACAAATCGTAGTTTGTTTGGCAAATGGCTAATCTCTGAAGTTGTGCAATACTAATATTTCACCGCTTCTTCATTTTTATTTATTTTGAAGCAGAAGAGATTGAGCCAAAGACATTTTAAACGGATGTTATTTACAACTTGTCATCAATGCTGATTTGTTTTAAGACGTTGTTCCAGAAATGAGTTTGCCATGATCTTTACTGTGAAACTAAAGGTCTTTAAGTTGGATTTTAAAATGTTTTCACCTTGCAATATTGAACCATGTTTCATTATATGAATTATTGTCTTTAAAAAAAAAAATCAGTGTTGCCTTTTTAAAGAAAACAAACCAGTTTGTGTGGCACATGGAGAGGGAGCAACCTTTTGCCCAGCCAGTAGAGAGCACTGTGTTAAGCCTTCTATAAACGCCACATCTCTTCCCGTTCTCTGTTGGCTCTCCTCTGTCCCTCCCTCCCTCCCTCGCTGCAGTGAATCAATGGCTCACCTGTTCTCCCAGCCTCCCATTCCCATTGGTTCCTCCCTCGTGGGTACACAAATAATGAATAGATCTGTTTTACTCTTCTTCATTTCAATTGGTGGTGGTTATAATCAAGGATTTAGACTGTGTTTCAAAGGTTTATTTTCTTTTTTTATTTGTTTCTCTATTAAAGTGTTTTTATTGAAACTTCTAGAGTTCTGCCTTTGTTTTTGTATCATCCTCTGCATTAAACAGCAGTGATATAGAATACAGGAATTATGAAGGGGTTTGCCATACTTTGAAGCTGCATCTGTTGTTGCCTTCAGGACTAAAGGCTTGGACCTCAGCCCTTGCAGAAAGAAAGAAAGACAAGAGCGTGTTTCCTCTGCAGTGTAGAGCCACTTAATGTTCCTGTGTGGATAGACACTGGATTTAACACACGTTAGTGTCAGCAGCTGCGCTCCTTTTTGTCTCGACCTGGCCCTAATGTCATGACTAATGAAGGGAAGTTTAATGACAGTTGTTCAAGGGAGATCACATTAATGACAGAACCACATTTAACTAAATGTATGAAATAGTGTGCAGTGTTTGCACGTAGCTGTATGAATGTGTTGTCGTTTAAAAGGAACCAAAAAAAGAAAATGTGCAAGACAGTGACGGAGTGAGAAGAAATGTGATGCTGATCCTAGACCAGCCAGGTGCATCATGTCGGACAAATGTAGTCTCTGTACAGCCGAAACAACACACTTGGCATCAACAATCTCACCCCATTGTTTGGTACATGAAAGCAAAGAAGAAACATTTCAGAAAAAAAGTTTCCAAAGCTAATTAAGATTTATTTTTGGTTACAAAGAAATAGCCCATAAGAAACACACAGAATATGCTGCATTCAAAAACATTCAATATTCAGAAAAAACATAGAAATGAAATTCAACAATTACCATTACAATAGGTATTCTATTTTTTTGTTATTTATTTCACTTTTCCATTCTGTGAAATGAATCTTACAACTCAGTCAAAAATAAATACAACTAATTAAATAGACTTGCACTAAACAAACCTATGATGGCATTGACGGTTGCTCTTACCAATAGCTGCAGGCTTTTCACATAAATAAACGATGTTGTACAGTAGGTAATGTCGATGAAAACAAATGTTTGCTTGCTTTGTAAAAACGTATGTACATTTGTGTTTTGAATTGACTGGCTAGTGAAAATCCATTCTGAAACAAAACTGACACACAAATACAGAGCATGAGCCTGTGTCAGATGTTCTGATCTCCATACACTTCTTTCACACGGAGAAAATGTAGTTGAACCGATGCAAATACCAATGTGTTTCAATTGGGTCATGATGACGCATGTACAGAACAGAGCATTTTTTGTATCGGTTTGGTTTGTAAGCTGTCAACAAAAAAGTAAAAGGCATTGTATGTGCACCTGCTAGAGCTGAAGCTTGTCCAACACGGAGTGTGTGGGTGTTTAGCATTCAGCCTACCACACACACACAAACCTGCTCTGTGCATCTGCCTCGCCTGAAATCAGTCGTTTATTCACAAAGTTCTTATTTTAATGGGACTTTCTTTAATTTTCAAATCTTAGAAATTAGAAACACATTTTGTTGATACTTCTAGTAAGTAATTGATTCCTTGAGCGATCCCATTGAAAAATCAACAGATGAACATTAGACATCTACAAAATATCATACAAAGTGCACTATCACACACATCATATCACACATGTAGATGTCTGGTCTTAACTGTATGAACTATATTCTTAAAATGTCAAAGAATCTAATTATATTTACGACTTTTTAACTAAGTCAGGGCATAATGATGTTAAAACCATCTTCCAAAACTGACTTGATAAATAATTGTTTGCCTTTTCAAGATATTGTTTAAATATACAAGCAGTAAAAGGCAAAAGTGCTGTTTAGACCAGGTTGGCTCTTTTTGAGAAGTATGGTGGTTATGAGGCTTCATGTCAGATTTAAGTTGTGATCACCAACATGAACCCCACCAAAGTGGATTGCTATATTTTACGCTCTAGTTGGACATGCATGACAAGGCGGACATTCATAACTCCGAAAACGCCCCATATTCAAGTTGCTTTATAATTGTAGTGAGGTAAATGTCCCTTCATTGCTATGGTCCATCCACTCCCCAAACCAGTTTCTGTCATCATGACGTTACCATTTTATGGCCTGTTCTTGAATTGAACCTATCCTTGAATATGTATTCAAAACAATAGACACAGTCACTCTCCTCAAATCCTGTAATCATCTGTCCGTCATCACTCCACTTGGTCCTGCTCGGCGTCCATGCAAGTCTCCCATGGATTCCTAGGCATCTGCGGCATGGAGAGAAGCAGCAGGGCAAAGCCAGTGAGAAAGAGGAGGACAAATCCAGTACAGGCACACGCGAATGACCAGGAGTAGTAGTATTCAATCCAGATTGTTTCCTCGCTCTCAATCATGCGTTTAACTGATTGACGCATCACCTCCAGTGAGATGAAGCAACAGAGACCTGGTAATGAAGGAAATGTGTACAATTAGTTAGTAGCTCTCAAAAATGCTGCAAGATAAATTGAAGTGATGTTGTTTTACTGAGCCCACCTGCAAATGCATAAAACATGCCAGCAGGTTTAAGGAGGTAGTCTCTTCCTTTGCCTTTGCCTTTGCCGGTACATGATCCCATCAGACACAGAGAGCCAAAGATCATGAAGGCTAGACTGAAGATGGAGATGGCTGCAGCCGAGATGTTGTATTCTGGAAAGAAATAAAGAATGTAAACGTGGTGTTTTTAAGACATTTCTTTTTTCAATCAAAAGACCCCAATAATTATGTTATTTCAAATGGCCACATTAGAAATGTATTGTTTTTTTTTTTAATTGTATGAAACCAAAAACACCACATGTACTTTTCAAAGCGGTGTTTTGTGGAACAATTTTCCATTTGTGTGTTTTTTGATGTTCTTATTCTTCATTAGTATCAGGTTAGGATTACAGAATAAGGCTATACTATATGTGTCTGATCATCAACAAATGCATGGTTCATCCCTCATTCTCCACAAGTGTTTACTTTTTACATATGCATTTATTCATTACTATTTCCCGTGGGATATTGCCAATTGCTGCTTTAGAGAGCTTTTCTACATTCTAATTACATTTCTGTTCCCACATTCATGGTTATGAAGGGAAAGGCACCCAGTTCAACAGTATAACTGAAAAGACACATAAGATTTTGGCTTCATTACTTGTAAGTAGAATGCAATGTTATTTTTTGGCTTTTGAACAGATATTTTGACTGCAACAAACATATCGTATTCCACCAAACTTGCTTTAAAGGCATTCATCTTTACAAGCAACATTCAAATATACTTTATGAATGTAATTTGTTTACAGATATCAGGCGTTTGTGTAATAAGAACTGCATCTGGCTTGTTTTCCCAATCAGATGTGAGGTCTTTGATCTGCCGCCTGTGAACCAGGCCCAGGGGACAGGCGCTCCTTTGGGTGCGAGAGCCTTCATCTTCTACTGGCAGGGGAGCATGGGCCGCACCTTACACGCTACGTTATCTGAGATACTGCTTGTCTGTCGAGCTTGTCAGCCAGTCGGAAATCCCAAAGTTTCTCTACACCAAGAGCAATGTAAAAATCAAAAAATACCAGTGGTTGTATTAACTCATGTAGCCTATTCTACTGGAAGTACTATTTTGCAGTACAGCATTAGCATCTACAATATGCTCCCATTTCAATGCAAGTTGACATGAGAGTTATACAATTTTGTACTTTAACCTTTATTTTTTAAGTAACTTTTTGTAAACTTTGTCTTGGAGTTCGAGGAAGAGCCTGTGCAGTTCGCTGCTGCCTAGTAGGCGCCTTACTTACAAGCAGCGTAAGCTAACACTGCTTTGCTAAGTTAGCTAATGTAATGTGCTTTAAGGGCTACAGTGTCTGTGGCTGATGATTGGGCAACCTAATAACAACAAAGTGAACATCATTCAGCTGGCATCCCAAACAGAACTCATTCAATAAATGTCAGTCTTTGCTAACAGTGTTAGCTAGTGATTAAGACAAATGCGCCGTGCTGCAATTAGCAATTGCAATTAGCGCATGTTTTGTCTGCTCTCAGAGAGAAGACAGTTTTCCAACATGCGACGGAACAATACAGTTTGTTTAGACATTTTAACTTCTTAACTTAAGTTTATAAAACATTTGAAGAACCTCTTAATGCCCAGATCCATACCAACATCTCTTTTGTGTTGCACTGCATTGCATTTGATATTTCTTCATTCGAAAAATGTCTCTCACATTGAAGTTTTTGTTAGGAATAAATACAATTCCTATATTAATGCTTTTTGAAACACTCACAATGTGCCTCAGGGACATGCACTGTACAGTACATTCAACAAATCAGAGCTGTGTGTGTGTTTGTTCCATCTTCTATTCCTTCCATTTTCCATTCCTTCCGTCCTTTCTCCAGTGACCCTGTTACATCTCTGATTGTATTGAGGCCCAGCCAACGTATGTTATATGACAGCTCTCACATGTAATGTGCATTAGGGGGGCAAGAACATGTGGAGCACTGTCACACTCAATTATTTGGGTGTTAATGCAAATAGTCTTATGCATATAGTTATACGCACCTCCCTACCCTAAACTCAGAGATGCTAATGCGAGAATATATATAGCCAACCCCTTACTCGTCATCTAAAACACACACACACACACACACACACACACACACACACACACACACACACACACACACACACACACACACACACACACACACACACACACACCATGTATACATCACTTCAGGGGACATTACATGCATTTCCTAGAGACTTATCCTAACCTTAACCATAACCAACACATGCCTAACCCTTACCCTTAACCTTACCCTTACCCTAATCCTAAACCTAACCAAGTCTTCACCCTAAAATTAATGATTCCCCTCATGGGGACCTCCAATTTGCCCCCATAAGAGAGGCGAGTCCCCACACGTGACTGTGTAAACAGATTTAGGTCCCCACAAGTATAGTAATGCTAGGCACACACACACACACACACACACACACACACACACACACACACACACACATGCGCGCGCTGATGGCCTAGCCCTTGAGAGACACACCGCAAGTTTGCTGGAATGATTGCAGCACTGACCTAAGTTCCCTGTAGAGTTATTCACTCTTGACTGAGCCATTTGGCTGTACCATAATGGTGTATAAGGTTGAATGAACATAGTATATGTACATCACCACAGGCACAGCCATACAGTTAGATTGTTATCCACCACAGGGAGTTCACCAGAAGAAAAATACACGAGATGCTACACAAACAGTGGCGGTTCTACGGGATGGCACAGGGTGGCAGCTGCCACCTCAGAAAAATGCCTTGCCACCCTAAATGTAGGCAATTCATTTATAATAATATTTTTTTAAATGTTGGTGACATTTCTCCATAGTTTGTGTAAAACGTTTTACTCAACAGTTTAGAATTAACTCCCCCGCTTTGTTTTGAAAGAAAAGTTGTGGCTCATCGGACATTTATGAGAGAAAATCTCTAATGTCCGAGTGCAAGTGAATGCAGCACAAGATAGCCTTGTAACCGCTTGTAACCCCTCCCCCGGCTACGGCGCGAGCGTGGAAATATGATTGGCGGCGATTTCATTTGAACGAGAAGCATTCGGACCCAAGTAGACGGAAGGAATGAGGTATTTGCGGTCTACAATGACAGAGAAGAGACGCACTAAAGCTTTGGATCTAATCAGTTTGTGAGGCGTGTTGCTGAACAAAATGGTAATCGCCGCATTCAGCCTGTTATGGCGCATTTCCACTGCAGCGGGTAGCCCCGTTTAAGCATCCTTAACCGTCCTCAAGCGGCCAGGCCAGTTTTTGGTGGCCTTTCCATATAGCCTAGTACCGGCTAGCGGGTACTTTTTCCCTCTTTTTCCGGCCCCATAAAATCGTGGTTCTATCAGACCAGGGCCAGGGCTGAACTAGGGACGTCAACTGTCTCGACTGCTGATTGGTCAGAGAGAATCGTCACAAGATCGCGCGCGAGTTCATCCCTAGCGTCGTATATATATTTAGAAGCAAGCTTGCAGCATTTTTATAAACAGCATTTTGTAAACGGATGAGTTACAAAAATGGCTACGTCTAATAAGAAAAGCACACCGTGGTCGACCGAGGAGGTGACGACGTTCCTACATCTCATTGGGGATGATACAATCCAGCGGGAGCTCGACGGAACAACTCGAAATGTGAACAAAAACAAAGCCGATCGCCCCCGCCTACACTGCGTTGCTACCCCAGGTCCTAAACTGTAATGGAAATGCGCCACGGCCTCGGACGGCCAGCGAGGCAGCCCGAGGCCTGAGCGAGGACGCTTAGGGACGCTTAAACGGGGCTACCCCGTTGCAGTGGAAATGCGCCATTAGAGGCATGCCAACTTGATGCTCTGCTCACAGATGAGCATAACAAACTGTTAAGATGATGACCTTGTATGTGTGTATATATATATTTTTTATATACTTTGTGGGGTCAGCCTGAGAAAGTCAAATAAGACGGTGTGTAAAACTACACTGCCCAGTTAAATCAAATTAACCACTTTGATTGACTTTCCACTGGATAATAACTGCAGCGATGTATATGTTTTAGCTGAATACACGTTTTTTTGTTTACCCTAATTGATGCAGTTAGTCACTTCTTTAATGTTTGTTTTTTCTGATGTAAAGTCAAGGTTGTAACTGTTTGCAATAAAGTCGTGGGGCGCTGAACTGTTCCTTTGAATCTTTTGAATTTTGATATATGATAGTATAACTACTTCAAATTTGAAGGAGGGTGAACAAGCATCTTCCAATCCAATCCAACTTTATTTATATAGCACTTTAAAACCTCCAGACCAAAGTGCTGTACAGAGAGATACATAAAATATAAAATCACTCAGCTCAGCTCACAAAACATAAAATAAATAAATTGAGGAACATTCATCATTAACTCCTCCAAAAAATATAGTTTATTCAATAATAAATGAATATGTGAATCATAACAGTGATTGACAGCTGATGAATAATATTATTGTTAATATTATCATATTCATTCAGACAAACATCGATGAGACAGTTAATTAATGTACTTATTGCAGCAGTCTGCATAGATTTGGTACCCCTGCTGGTCTAAGAGTGAGACAAACTCATTCAGTTAAAATTCATTAAATTATGTCTGCCACCTTATATATGTATATGTAAGGCTTTACTGATGTGCCACAATAATGTCACCTAATGTTATTGAGTTAAAATATTAATATTGTGGCTTTCCAAGTTAACATTGATTGATATGACTGCGATTAAATCAGCATATACTTCTGCCAGGGGATGCCACCCCTCAACATCTCCTGCCACCCCATGAATATTTGTCTAGATCCGCCCCTGGTGCCAACACATATGGGCTCTGTTTTGCTATTTATAGCCTTGACTTTTGGCCAGTTTGATAGAGAAAAAGTATATTGCCTTTAACAAAGGACTTCTTCATGTATATGAATGCAATGCAATGTAATATATGACGTTTTGTCATTGACAGCCAGTCCAGCTGTGAAACCTATGACTGTTATGCAGTCAGAAGTGTAACATGAATGAAGATCTGAACCCACAGAAAGCAGAGCAGCAGCAGGTAAGGTCAGTAGGGAATATGTGATGCAGTCAGTTTGATGTTTAACTTCACACAGACTAGGATGTCCTAGTGTTGCAAGGAACATAGTTTCAAAAATGAATATCTCCTCTTTTCATGTGTAGACAGGATGGGTTGAAAATAGCCACAATATGGTAACCCTTAACAGGAACCTACCTTTTTGTGTTTTATAGTCAAATATCTCAGCATCCTGCCCGGGAGTGAAGTGTCTGAAGTATGTGCAGTTTTCCACTGTGAAAAGATAAAACAATTGGATTTAGTTCAAAGTTAAAATTACATTAGTTCATTTTTTTGGCCACTAGGGGACAGCACAACAAGCAGTTAACACACCATTAACATATTGTCACCATATAAAGTTGAAATTGCCATGTCTCCTTTCTTTGCTAGATAGATACAGTAAAAGCGTGTGTAAAGCGCACATATTTTCTATATATTATGTCTATTTTATTTATATGTATAGTAAGTCTTTATATTTTAAACACACACTTTATCTTTAATTTTATCAGCACCACGTTACTATTATTTATTTATATGTACAATTTTAGCAAGTTTTTATATTGTCCTGTTCCTGTAAGCCAGTACAACGAAATTTTGTTTTAATAGTACACGCTGTATCTTGTTGAAATGACAATAAAGTACGTCTAAGTCTAAGTAGATAGATAGATAGGTGGATAGATGGATAGACAGATAGATAGGTGGATAGATAGATAGATAGATAGATAGATAGATGGATAGATGGATAGATGGATAGATGGATAGATGGATAGATAGATAGATAGGTGGATAGATAGATAGATGCATAGATAGATAGATAGATAGATAGATAGATGGATCTATGGATAGATAGATAGGTGGATAGATAGATAGATAGATAGGTGGATAGATAGATAGATGCATAGATAGATAGATGGATAGATGGATAGATGGATAGATGGATAGATAGATAGATAGATAGATAGGTGGATAGATAGATAGATGCATAGATAGATAGATGGATAGATGGATAGATAGATAGATAGATAGATAGATAGGTGGATAGATAGATAGATGCATAGATAGATAGATAGATAGATAGATAGATGGATCGATGGATAGATAGATAGGTGGATAGATAGATAGATGCATAGATAGATAGATAGATAGATAGATAGATAGATGCATAGATGGATAGATAGATAGATATGTTATTTTCAAGCTTTACCCCACATACATTTTCACCATAAATATCATATCAATATGATACTTTAAACACTTCTCACTGACTCAGATCTATCTTACATTGTTTTTCTAAAAAGGGTCTCACAGGTTCACACCACCAGGATAGTATTACCACTGTAATGGTTGTGTGATGCAATGCAGACCCTGGCGTGCAATTTGTGGTTTGACTTTCAGAGTAAATATGGTTACAGCAGACATTTCAATGAATTATTTCATTGAAATTAAAAGGGATTTTCACAACTCAAGATTTTCACAACTCAAGGCAGGCCGCTTTATGTGATCCCAGGCTGGTTTAGTTGTGTCAATACTCCTCCTTTTAAATCTCATTCATAATTAATTCATATCATCTGGCATAATTCTTGATAAGGTATACACATGTATATATATATTATTACAAGTAGTTGCTCACACTTAAAATCTGAGGCCTTACTTTAAACAACATGTTTCTGAAAGCGTAATTATGTCTTGGCAATAAAACAATAACATGGGTTTGGATTATCATATGTGGAAAGAGAGTGAGAGCATACAGTGTGAATACATATATGTAATGTCAGATCGGTCATTTATTTCACACCACAAAGTGCACATCACTGATCTTGGTTTTGCTATGAAGTCTCATGCCCCCAATGCCTGGGTTTAATCCCCTTCTACATACAGCCTCACCATGGGACATGAGTGAAATGCTTTCATGTGGAAATATGTAGTTCTGTATGATATCGGATAGCGGTAAGAGCTTGATGACCCGTGCTGGTATGGTATTCCTTTTCCTCTCTAAACCATGAAAATAAGCTAAAGGGGATGTCAGGTAATAGCACAGTGTAATTGGTTTTAATAGGCACAACAAATATTTCTGAATCCTATTTTTCCAAGCCAAGTCAACAATGCAATGTTTACAAAAACCTCCTTTGAAATTACACAAATTGACGCTGTGCCAACATTATTTTTGCAAAAATATATTTGTATGAATGACTACAGGGACTGGCCATGAAACAACTGAGTGTGTTACTTAGCAACAAGCTCCAGTGTAGAAAATAGATAGAAATGGTGTGGGGAGGCTTGTCAACAAGTTGTACATCTGAGCTTTCATTCAAAAGGGAGGCTGAAAAATATCTTTGAACTTCACTCATTAACCAAAACTGTGAATATCCATGTTTTTAGGTGAATGCAAATCCAGCCCTCGTTCTTCTTTGCTATGACAACTATATCAATGGTAGGAAACATAGTCTCAGGTGTGGAGTATTATTTTTATTTTTAAGGCGCAGCAAAGTATAATACCAGCATTTATAAAGCCTTGGAGTGGTAACTTTGAGCTCATTATCTATCTAAAGCAGCTTTTTTCCCCACATGTGACTGAATGTGTGTTGCCTAATTACACCTTTTATGTACCAATCTTTACAGCGCAATGAAAAATATGTGTACAAGCTGGTGGTCATATATCAATCTGTATTCATGTAGAAGCATTGACGCTACAGGCAAATACCAAAATACACACACACACACACACACACACACACACACACACACACACACACACACACACACACACACACACACACACACACACAACTGCACCACTTGTTGCTGGTCCTTGATCTGCTATGCTCTGCTGACAAGCTCTGTCAAGCCTCTCTTGTTCCTGATGGGGATATCAGTCATCTTTCCACAGATCAGCAGAGGACATTGGATTGACAGCCCTTCTGCATCAAATCCCGCTTTTTATAGCTTTTATAGTCTAATCATTTTGTTTATGGACGAACACTGGCCCAGACCTCTGAGCTTGGCTTTTTGTTTAGCCACGCTATCCTCCTCCTACTTAGGTCTACCAGCAAAGTGGAAATACATTTTTTATTACGTTGTTGTGTCAACACAAGTATCATTCATATGCGAGCAAAATGTGTTGATTTTTCTCCCTAGCCTGAACATTTTTATTCAAAATTATTCAAACTTCAAACTTCATTGTCATATTATGATTGAAAATGATTAAGTTCAAAACTAGGGCTGTCAGTCGATTACAATATTTAATCGTGATTAATCGCATGATTGTCCATAGTTAATCGCGATTAATCGCAAATTAATCGCACATTTTTGATCTGTTCTAAATGTACCTTAGAGGAATATTTTTCAAGTTTTTAATACTCTTATCAACATATGAGTGGACAAATATGCTTTATGCAAATGTTTATTATCATTTCAACAATGACAAATATTCTCATGAATAGCCTGTTGGACTCTTTGCATTTGAGCACATTCCAACTATGTAAACTGCAGCTTTGATGCAGCTATAAACCCACAGAAGCATTTGGAAATATATCTATCTATATAAGTGTTAAAGACTTCACTGGCAATTCCCATCCCCTTATACCAGGGGTGCCCAACCAGTCGATCGCGATCGACCGGTCGATCGCGAGGAGATTCCCAGTCGATCGCGAGATGTGTCTAAAAATAGAACAACAACATTCTGTTCTCATTCATAACACTCCGTTCGATGTCTCACTATGGGATGCGCCTCATCGCGGAGCAAACAGAAGCATCAATCTCATTACGCCAATCCTGATTGGCTGGTGATCTTGACGTCAGCGTCAGGGAATTCACCCCCTATAAGTAGCTTGCGCCACGACGCATGCGTCATTCAAACACCTCTTCTCGCTTCAGAGCACATCTCTATGGTAGCCGGACAAGCTTCACGGTCCACAGACTGAACCCAAATAACCATTTCGGTCGACGGGCGCTCGCCGGCTACTCCTTCTGCTTCGCAGGAAGACGGTAATACTAACGCCAGTTAGTATTAAAATCGACCTCGCCGCTCTCTTTCCCCGGAAAGTAAGGTAGGTCTGATTTTTTCAAGCTAGCGTTAGCTCGCTCCCTCACTATCGACACCACAGTAGCGAGGAAGCTCTTTCTTTTCTCTTCCCCACGGAGGAGGAAAGGATTAAAGGAGCATACTGTCACACCAGTCAGTATTCTTCGGGAATAAAAGACCCACACCGTCCTTTTCTCCGGATTAAGGACAGGGTGGTAACACCTTTTTTTCTCCCAACCTACCTGTTGAGAGCGGGTCCTCTCCACGCCACAAGGCGAACAAGATGGACGCCTCTCTCCCTCACACCAGAGGAGTCAGGGACTCGGTGGCTCGATCTCGGGCACAGACACACACCAGGTCTGCTCGTCCTGCCTCGGGCTGGAACACGCCCGAGGCGCTATCGACAACCCCGGCTCGTGCGGACATTGTGTCCACTTCACCGTGAAGAGCCTCCGCCGACGGCTAGCACGCCAAGCTAGCCTGTCGGAGCAGGACCCCCCCATGTCCACTGACCTGCCGGCCGGCAGTCAAGACGCGGGGGCGTCCGCCGCAGAGAGTGAACCCCTCTCCGTGTCGGTCTGGGGCTCATTATCTGCGATGGCTGCAGAACCGGAATCCCGCGCCCTGGCAGGCCGGGACCCGGTGACGGCAAGACACGCGGGAACGGGACCCCACGCTTTACCGAGCTGGGGCTATCGGTTAGACCTCACCATGGTCTCACTCGCGGAGGATGTCCTCGAGCTGGACTACGATGAGGACGAAGAGGACGCCTCGGTGTGCCTCCTGTCCGAGTCGGATGAACATGAAGAGGACATCTTCATGTCATCGGCTCAGGCTGCAAAGCCTGGAGCGAGGGCTGCTCACACCAGCTTCGCCCTGTCTGAGCATGGACCTGCAGGCCGTGTGTAAACGTGCCGCGGCCAGACTCGACATCCCGTGGCCTGAAATGGCCAAGGAGACCTCCAGGTCCCGCTACGAAGGGAAACATTTTCCCCAAGCAGCACGGACAAAGAGGCAACTCCTTCCGGTCTTCCCGGAGATGTTGGATGAGGTGTCGGTCTCGTGGAGAGACCGGCCCTTCAGCAACAAGGTCCCAATCCAGGGTGCCTCCTCCCTAGACTGTGACGGAATGGAGAAGCTCGGCCTGCTCCGCATACCGCCCATGGAACCGCTGGTAGCAGCCCACCTCCTACCGAGGATGGGCCCGTCACCA